GGGGGAGGAGGGGGGGGGGCTGCAAACAGAAAAGAAACTTGGGCATTCAGAAACGTATGCATGGAGATTCTGAGTGTCTTTGCATGTTGACGCGACACGAGGAAGTCGTCTTGCTGCTGCTGAGGCTCCGGGACCAGCCCGCCCCGCCACGCTGTATCATGGCTCCAGGCCAGGGTGAGAAAGTAAAGAATCTGCGCGCGCGCTCTGGCTGTTGTCGCCGAGTGTTTCTGTGTGTACGCGCGCGTACGGCTAGGTGTGTGTGCGTGTGTGTGTGTCGGGTCGGGTTGCGAGTATGCGCCGTAACGGCAATAAATTTGTGTGTTGGCGTGAGTGGGGGTGCTCCTTTGTCTAGCGCTGGTTTCCCTTCACGCCTCCTGTCCGGCCACCCCCATCCCCTCCCCCCCTTTCCCCTTTCCTCCCTCACACCTGTCACCACATCCTGGGCTCGCCCGCCGCGGCCGCCCGCAGGACGCCACACGCACTCACTCTCCTACTTGCGGTGCCCTTCCCCCCGCCTCGCACTTGCCGCGCTTGTGGCCCGCTGCCGACTGGTAGCGCTGGCTGGAGTGGAGACGCCGAACGCCCAGGTTCGCCCCTTGTGTCGCAGGCTGCCCATCGCGCGGGTATCGCCGCGACCAGTCCTTAAATATTCATCATCGTGGGAAAGGGGAAAAGGGGGGGGGGGGGTTCAGCGGCTTCAGCCTTGTTCCCTTCATCTCATTTGGTCTCCTTCCGAATGCATAAGAAATCAAGGAGCAGGTACCATTTAAAGCGGTTTCGGCCCCCTCCCCTTTTCTTTTGCCGCTTCTTCTAGCGCTGCGCTTCGTCTGCGCGTAAAACAGCCTGCGCTGCTGCTCGTGAAAGGTGTCGGTTAAGCGCTTCTCGAGGGGAACAATGTAAAGTGTCTTAATGTTGCGCATCCGGTCTTCCACGATAAGTCTCTCCCCCCACCCCTTTCTATACCCCCTCGTCGGCTAATTAAGGGCTGATTCTAACAATAGCGGCATTGTTGGGCGACACTCCGAGACAGCTTTATATTGTTAGCGCCTGATGCAGCGCACTGAGACCAATGGCGGGACTTGGGCCGGGGCACTAACGACCAGTAGAACTGTAGGCCACTGTACAGTGTGTAGTATAGAGAATGTGTCTTGACTGTTACCTTATCCTACCCCATTTTAGTGCTTTTTGCGCTTTTTCGAGCACCGCGCTCAATCGCAATTGAAGTTCCTGCCCTACCTGCAGGTAGCTATTGAGTTCCGTTGCCTTCTGTTGTGTGCCTCAGCTAACAAAAGAAAATAAACGATAGCTGGTAGAACATAAAAGATACGGATTGGTCAAGAGCTAGCCGCCCCTGCGTCACGCCACTTGTGGGGGTTCATTCTGGACCAAGCAGGAACCTTTACGTTCGAACTGCTATTCTTTTTCCTCTGTTAATTGTTGAACTATACGTTACGACCGAGCTTGCTTTGCCTTCTGTTACGCTGCTAAAAATCCCTCGTTTAAATTTGTTCTGTTTTTAAGTCTGCTTTTTGATTCTTAACGGCTTTGAGGCTTTGAGCTTCAAGGAAAATTTTCAAAGAATGATTGGATGCACTTTTAAAGTAGGTTACTTTCTAATTTGTTATCGTTATGATTATTATTGACAAGCACTCAACTACGGCGTCTTTTGCAGGATGGTCGCGGACCGACTCACTATGCGCGTGGTTCGTCGTGCTCCACGCCGCGTTCCTGGCGAGGTAGCGGACCTAGAGCGGGCCTAGACTCGGCTCGGCATGGCTCGCCTAACGGGGCTGACTCGGCCTGCGGCCCGACTCGGCTCGTCTAGCACGCTGGCGTCTACGTCGTAAAGAAACGTGCTGAACTGATGCGCCCGTGTGTTTACGTCGTGTTTAGTGTGTGACCGCCGGACACGTGTGCGGGCGTCCCGTCTACTCTCGGGACTGTTGAAGAACGTTGTTGACTGCAGTGGTTTGGTGGTGTCGTGTACTGCGTCGAATCCCTGTACATTATTTGTAAAGTAGGAAAATATTGAGAAAGTGTGATATTATTGTATGGTGGGTTTATTGGGGGGAAAGGTCATGGCATTGTTTCGTGTGACGGTGATATGTGATGTATCTCATGCTGACGCTCTGTACTTACATGGGGTGGAATTTAAAGTATTTGTTGTACGTTCTGCGAGGCAAACACTCACTTATTGTTATTGATGGTCGCGCCTATCGGTTAGTGAAGCTCTGATCTAAAAATGTTTCCTGTTTCTATAGAACGTTCATTCAATCAGTATGGCATTGAGTGCTCAATATGCATTGGAAAAGGTAAACTTGAAAAGATGCTTATATCTAAGATACCACAGACAAAATCGGTCGTTCAATTTTAGGAACGATTTACCAGTCTTTGGTCGTATCTCTTTTACGACATTCTAACGTGTTGAATTTCTTAACCTGAAATACGCGGCCGAGAGAAACTATTTGTAGTACCTCCTGTCTAAATTTGTTAAAAACACATGTGATATTATTCAAATAGGACAAACATGTCTTTGTATAGTGATTCTCTTTGTGTAGCTTGAATGCTATTGGTGCTTTAAACGGCGATTTACATTTGTGTAAACCCTACTTTAAATTTTAATTAACAAAAGAGAATCACGCGTACACAGTATGTTGGTGCTCCTATACTTATCAAGCAATGCTCATCTGTAAATATTACCATCCAGTGAGTGCTGCTTGACTTATTATTTATAACTGAAAACTAGATCGTCTTCTTACGTCACGATTTGCCAGACTGTTGCATTCAGAACCCTTATCGAGGTGTGTAAGAGTCCCTTACAAACAAGTTAGGTTTACCTCTATTGTTGTGTTTTGACAGCGTCCACATTTTCCAAAACCCGCCTCTCGTCCCAACGCTCAAATCAAATGTATGTCTATGGGATGTCTAATTTCTTGCTAGTTTCTTTTATTTCGGTCCCCTAGAGGCTCTTTAAGTGCAGCATGAGAAATAAAATGTTCGTGTATTTATTTTATCTGTAAATAAGATTAATTTAAAAACATTTGTCTGTAGAGAGATCTCATTAAAGGCTTATGTTGTGATGTGTTGAAACCATAAGACTTCCTTTATTTACCACACAGAGTGAAACCCGGGCTAACAAACAACTAACGGGCAGCCATCACCACAAGCGGGGCAAAATGTTGATGAAAACTGCCGGCCGATCTGATATCGAACACGAGCTCGTAACAATAGTACCGCGCAGGAGATAGTTATTGCTTTCCAATAAGCGCACGCGGCGGTGGCGGCAGCGCGCGCGCTGGCCAGTGGGATATGAAACGAAAGGCTCGCTGCTGCGGGCTGTTTGCATTCAATTACCTGGACAGCGCAGTGTTATGTTAAGTGCAGGTGCGCCTCGCGAGGGACGCGCGCCCGGCTGCGCTGTGCCGCGCCCGGCTGCGCTGTGCCGCGCTCCCCGCGGCGGTTGCAGCCCCCGATTTCATTCATCCCCTCCCCCTCCTCTTCTCCCAGCCATACGCTCGCTGCGCGCATTGTGCTGCTCGTGTCCAATGGAGCGGCCAGCAGTCGTGGTGCGGCGGTCACGTTATGGTGACGACAGTAACGCTTTGGTTCGTATAGCAGCAGCAGCACCGGAACTCCAACGGAGCGCGCGGCGGGCGCGCGTGCGCGCTCTTTAAATGGAGAAAATATAGCGGCGCTCTCCGCTCTCTGCTCTCTGCCTCGGCCGCTGCGAGTCGCACACTATGGCCGTTATGTTCCGTTCGGTTTGCTCGGAAGCGAGTCAAGGTCTCTTAGCCCGGCCCTTCCCCTGGTCAGGCACACGCTGCCCGCCGCCAGCTACGGCCCGTGGCTCTCTTCTTGTCCATCACAATGAAGTGGCTTCCAGTGTAATCGGATTTGCAGCCCGACCACAGCGGCCCCGGCCGGCGGCAGCCCGGCGGCGCCTCGTCACACGCCCTCCATTGATCACATGCCGTGCGGGTGGAAAAGGGGGGAGGGGCGAGATATCGTTCCACTCGAACCAAGCTGCGATGATGGCCCCGCTCACATCAGGAAACTCGACTTGCTGCACCTCGAACTTTGCCATTTCGAGAGTACTGCAATTATTTCCGCCCCGTCGCCCCACAAAAATCTTTTTCATCGTGAGGGACATCCTTCACCCCTGCCCCTACGCCCACGCTCTTTTCTTGCTCTCCCTCTCTCTCTCTCTCTCTCTCTCTCTCTCTCTCTCTCTCTCTCTCTCTCTCTCTCCCTCTCTCTCTGTCCATCTCTCGCTGTCCCTCTCTCTCCTCCCTCTCGCTCTTACGCTGACTTTTATAACGCTTAGCTTATAAAGCGTAAAAAATTAGGACCGCCCAGTACCTTCACAGCGCAAGCGGCTGAGTTATGAGACGGACGTGTGGGAAAAGAGGGCGTTCTCTAAAGGGCCGGGAGGGGGAGGAGGGGGGATGGCCTGAGGGAAGGTCGGCCGTCGCGAATAGAAATGAAACCGAAAATGAGAAAGCCTCTTGTGGCTCAGCCGCGGTCGCGTGTGTGAGAGAACGTCGGTCGGTTGTTTTGTGCGAGGATGTCACGAGTTTCATTTTCGTTTGGGGCCCGTGTAAAACACCGCACTTTTTTCCACGACTTTTCCGCCTTTGCAAGGTATGGTGGAAATAAATGAGCATTGAGCCCCATCATCTGCAAGCTTTCCCCACCGAGAAAAGGGTTCCATTAAACTAATGGTAATTCCCTTAGTCCAACGGAAATTTCCGTTCATATAACATGAAAAAAAATTGCTACTTAAGGAGCTTATTTCTTTGTCTTAAAGAATGATTCTTTGCTCTATGGCCATTTTTTCCTTGAAGCATTGGAATTCATTTGAATCGACAGAAAATTTCCAACATTAGAACACAAATTCAACGGAACCGTTTTCTCCATGCGGAATAGGGTAGGAGCTGCAAAAAAACAAACTCCTTATTTGCGTACAGCACTATATCCAAAAACGGACTTTTCTGAGTGTACTTCATGCAGACGAGATAGAAATAGATTGTTCCGCGGTCTCTATCTCTCTCTCCGCGTCATCACTGCGGCGCCCTTAGGGGCCTGCCTTATGCGCCCCTTCAGTCCATCGACCCCCCCCCCCCCCCATCTCTCCCTTCTCCCATCTCAGCGACTCCTCTCGCCATCTCCTCACCCACCGTATGCTATCGCCGCCGCTTGCCGCGCGCCTTCGGAATAGTTCTCTGCCAAGTTAGCTTAGTTATCCACTGAGTGAACTTAACGTCTGCGATACCGCACTGTGTGCCACGACCCTGCCACTGTGACGGACGGGGCGGGGCGGGGTGAGAGGGGAATGCGGATATGAATTGTTTGCGGGGTGCCTGAGCGAAGGGCAAAGGGGCACCTGCGCGAGGGCCCTGCCTGCCACCCGGCTCGAGCAGTCAGCGGGGCTCCCCTCATCCTGGACAAAGTTTTGGCCGAGGCGCCGCGCTGCTGCGGCGACGGAACGGGGCGTCTCGTAATCAGAACTAAATTAAACACGTCATCACCGAAACGAAACTAGTCTGCCCGACGCCGCCCCCGCTGCAGCGCGCCTTGTGGTGTCGTAGCCCCCGGAGGGGAGGAGTGGGTCGGGTGGAGGCGGAGCGCGCATGCAGCCAGCCGCCGGGTAGGCCGTACGGGCGCGCGCAGCCAGAGCGTGTGGCCTACCCACGATCTGACAGGCGCGCTGATGCGGTACAGAGGAGAGACCTTCTCTGACTGCAGGGCGTTTTCAACACCCAGTAGAACTAAAAAATAAAAAAAACTGTAGCAACTATCATATGGTAACTTCGGGGACAGCCATGTCATGGTTGAGCCAACAAATGACAGTGAGGACTAAAATATGGTTCCGATAACTGTAGTATGATAGTTAATTTTACAAACATTATGGTTGTCCCTGAGGTAATCTTATACGATGGTTGCCAGAGCTCCCCATTTCTCTGGGTGATACTACCATTGCAATGCAGTACACTGCAATTGACATCCTTGTATTCTGTAGGATCTGAGTGTTGCGTAAATCCTTACGACTTAGTATCAGACGATCGCAGGAACTATGAAACTGCTCTATAACTCCATTATTAGAGTTTTTCCTCTGGCTTTTTTATTTTTTCTGTAACGCCCTCTACAGTCACCACGGTACTGTTTCTCTCGTCGGTCTGCCCCGTTGGCCCCGGCCCCCTCTCCCCCTCTCGCCACTACACCGCCTCCCCGCCCGCGCTTTCGAGTAGGGCTGGGGCTGGAAAATGCCTGGCCATGGCAGGAATATACTTTATTCGGATAACTAGTTGGAAACTTCCCACTGCAAAGAAACTCTTCCGCATTGGAGGGGGAAGAGAGAGAGGGCGAGGTGTGGCGCTGCTGCTGAGGGGGAGCAGCGCGGTGCAGGCGGGCGGTGGGTCCAGGACAGGTCCCCGCCGCGGAGGTGGCAATTCACTGCACGTCATCCGCCCCTCGGCTGGCCCCTATGGGTTTACAAGCTTGTATACAAGCGCCGCTATTGCCCCGCCGCCGCCGCCGCTGGCAGCGCTGCGGAGCCAACAAAGTTTTGGCCGCAGTTTGTGTGTTTTCAGACAGCGGCGCGCGGCGGTCACGGCATTTGATTTCAATTCCGCACCGCTCCCCTTCTCTGCCGCTCGCCCTCGTGATGCCGGGGCGGTGGAATGCTGTGGCGGCGCCGCGGAAGAAGTCATACTATTGTGTATGTGAGTGTGTGTGGAGAGCCAAGGGGGAAGCCTCGACCGTGCCGCGCGCGAAGGCGCCCGACCAGCTGACCCGTACAAGGGGGAAGGGGGGGGGGGGTTGTTGATTAGAAAAGCAAAACCCGCGAACGATACGTGGTGCGCGGCGTGGCCTGGTAGTGGTTCCCCCGGGAGTGATACAGTGTGGACTGAACTGCCCCATCACTGAACTGGCGCTGCCCGGAACGGGCCACTGTGAAAAGCGCACCAGTTTCGCTCTTCGAAGAATGAGAATATCATACGCAGTTGTCATGAACATTTTTTTTCTGCAATTTGAAATCGTATCTGTACAATGTGTCGCAGAAACTTTTTCCATAAAAAGCAGAGAAATATTTTTCGCAGTGACCGCGTGGCCGGCCAAGCAACGCCGCGGCGGCAGTGCCTCGGCCGCGGAGCCGACACACATCCTGGGGGTGTCGAGTGGTGGTGTGGTGGTGCTGCCCCGCTGGGGAGGAATGCTCTTCAAACGACCTCCCCTCCCCCGGCTCCCCGATGCAACTTGTAGGGCTCAAGTGCCGCCGGGCGCTACATCACTCCGTATTTCATTTGGCGACACTGCGCGACTTCCGGTATCGCTGGTTCGTGACGACGGCAGTAGGCCTTTCTGTGACGGGAGCTAACGACTACTCTGTCTCTCTCGCTCTCCTCTGCCCTAGCTTCGTCTGTCTCTCTCACTACCTCTCACTCTGCTCTCGCTTCTCCTTTCTCTCCCTCCCCCGGTGCCGCTCTCTTTATCTCTCTCGCTCCTCTCCTCTTCTTCTTCCTCCACACTCCACTGTCTAAGGCAGTAAAGTCGACGTCACGGCACTTCGCGCGCTTTCCACGCTCGAAAATAGGGGTTTCTTCGCCCGTTGCCGCTGGAAATTGTTATTTACGCCCTTTGGAATCGAAAACGGGAGAGAGAGAGAGAGAGAGAGAGAGAGAGAGAGAGAGAGA